CCCCCCCCCCCCCACACACACACACACAGTCTAGGGCTGCTTGGCAAGAAAGTGACTCCTAGATATCTTTGGTGGCATAGAGCCTTCAAAGAGAGAGTCGTTATTTGAGTGAACCCTGTCAGCAGGCAATGCCGTGAAGGTAGAGACAGAGAGGGAGGTAGGGTCCCAGTGGTAATAGAGGCTCCTAATCAGAACTGGGAGACACCCCCCCCCCACCCGCAGAGCAGGGGCTAAAAATGGCATGGTGAGAAGGAAGGGGCATCCGGGTGGCCTGGTATACTGAGAAGGGGGAGGGACACCCTATATTCACCTGCAGGGGCTTCATAGACCTTATGGTGGTGGCTAATTTGGGTGAAGATGGCAAGCACTGAGGCACTCAGGGATAGGTCTCATCTCTCTGCCTGTGCTGAACATGACCCCTGGTTTCAGCCATAGTCAGCTAATCCCTGCTTTTCATAGTAATTTTAGAAACCACTTGTGTACTTGCTTTTAGTATCACTCCTGGTGGCGTTGATTCACTCTTTTTTCTGTTTGTTTTGTTTTGTTTTTCGAGACAGCGTTTCTCTGTATTGTTTTGGGGGCTGTCCTGGAACTCGTTCTGAAGCCCAGGTTGGCCTCGAACTCAGAGATCTGACTGCCTCTACCTCCCAAGTGCTGGGATTAAAGGCGTGTGCCACCAACACCCAGCTTACTCTTGTTTGCTAATAAAAGATTCATCTAAATAGTGGTTCAAGCTAGAAAGTTAGTTCTGTATTGCCATATCTTCTATTTCCAGAGACAGGGTTTCTCTGTATAGCCTTGGCTGTCCTGGAACTCACTCTGTAGCCCAGGTTGGCCTCGAATGCAGAGAAATCTGCCTGCCTCTGCCTCTACCACTGCCTGGCACAAACTCTTGATATGCCTAGTGCTTCCAAACTTCCCGTGGAGACATGAGGGTAAAAGTGGTAGGCTAGTATGGTGGACACATTCAAAAGCTGTAATACACTAAATGCACTGAGTAGCTTTACTTCACTGGCAGCCGTCGTACCGGTTGATGCCTCTGCATAGTACACATTAATACACATTAATCACTTACCTATGTTTGCACAGACACCTACATGTTCAAGACCATCCTGTGACCAACCTTGTCACAATGGCCCAAACGTAATCGTCATCACCTGACGGGGTTCTAATCATTGTCACAAGCTGTATTCATGGGTTTTCTTGTTTTAGGTTTATTTATTATTTTATGAGTATGAATGTTTTGCCTGAAGGTATGTGTGTGTCCCACATATATGCCTGATGACCAGGTGTTGGATCCCCCTGCAATTGGAATTACAGAAGGTTGTGAGCCACCCTGTGGGTGCTGGGAATTGAACCTGAGTCCCCTGAAAGAGCAAGAAGTGCTCTTAACCTCTGAGCCAATCTTCCAGCCTTATACTTATGTTTTAATGTTTAAAATATGCATTTAATATTATATATACTAAACATTATAAATACATATTTAGCATTTGTAATGTCTCCCCCTTTACCTCCCCACTAGGATGTCAGCTTCAGGAAGGCAGGAGTTTAAGGCAAAAAATAAACAAATAAATAAATAAACATGTGCACACCAAATCATAGGACATGCAAAACCAAAGAAGCAGAGTGCTCCGGTCAGGCTGATTGCAACAGGTCCTTATCTGGCCCCTAGATCTCCACATGGCATTATCCATAGCATGCAACAACAGCAGGGGAAGGGACAAGTATAAAGTTTAACACCCAGGGCAGTGTGGGTGCACGCCTTTAATCCCAGCACTCGGGAGCAGATGCAGGCGGATCTCTGTGAGTTCGCCAGACTAGCCTGGGGGACAAGAGCTAGTTCCAGGACAGCCTCCAAAGCCACAGAGAAACCCTGCCTTTGACTGACCACCTACCCACCTCCCTTCCTCCTCCCACACCCACACCACAAAAAACCCAAGAAGACCATACACATAACATGAAAATAATTTCTTAAAGCCACCAACACCCAGCTTACTCTTGTTTGCTAATAAAAGATTCATCTAAAGAGCTAGAAAGTTAATTCTGTAATATCTTCTATTTCCAGAGACGGGGTTTCTCTGTATAGCCTTGGCTGTCCTGGAACTCACTCTGTAGCCCAGGTTGGCCTCGAATGCAGAGAAATCTGCCTGCCTCTGCCTCTACCACTGCCTGGCACAAACTCTTGATATGCCTAGTGCTTCCAAACTTCCCGTGGAGACATGAGGGTAAAAGTGGTAGGCTAGTATGGTGGACACATTCAAAAGCTGTAATACACTAAATGCACTGAGTAGCTTTACTTCACTGGCAGCCGTCGTACCGGTTGATGCCTCTGCAGAGTACACATTAATACACATTAATCACTTACCTCCTATGTTTGCACAGACACCTACATGTTCAAGACCATCCTGTGACCAACTTTGTCACAATGGCCCAAATGTAATCGTCATCACCTGACGGGTTCTAATCATTGTCACAAGCTGTATTCATGGGTTTTCTTGTCTTAGGTTTATTTATTATTTTATGAGTAGGAATGTTTTGCCTGAAGGTATGTGTGTGTCTCACATATATGCCTGATGACCAGGTGTTGGATCCCCCTGCAATTGGAATTACAGAAGGTTGTGAGCCACCCTGTGGGTGCTGGGAATTGAACCTGAGTCCCCTGAAAGAGCAAGAAGTGCTCTTAACCTCTGAGCCAATCTTCCAGCCTTATACTTATGTTTTAATGTTTAAAATATGCATTTAATATTATATATACTAAACATTATAAATACATATTTAGCATTTGTAATGTCTCCCCCTTTACCTCCCCACTAGGATGTCAGCTTCAGGAAGGCAGGAGTTTGAGGCAAAAAAAAAAAAAAACAAATAAATAAATAAACATGTGCACACCAAAGCATAGGACATGCAAAACCAAAGAAGCAGAGCGCTCCGGTCAGGCTGATTGCAACAGGTCCTTATCTGGCCCCTAGATCTCCACATGGCATTATCCATAGCATGCAACAACAGCAGGGGAAGGGACAAGTATAAAGTTTAACACCCAGGGCAGTGTGGGTGCACGCCTTTAATCCCAGCACTCGGGAGCAGATGCAGGCGGATCTCTGTGAGTTCGAGACTAGCCTGGTGGACAAGAGCTAGTTTCAGGACAGCCTCCAAAGCCACAGAGAAACCCTGCCTTTGACTGACCACCTACCCACCTCCCTTCCTCCTCCCACACCCACACCACAAAAAACCCAAGAAGACCATACACATAACATGAAAATAATTTCTTAAAAATGATAAGGATTTGGTAGGCTTTGCAGAGCCCCTGTTGAGGGCCCTACCCTGCCTGGGGAGTGGG